TGTGTGTGTGTGTGTGTGTGCATATGTATGTCACAGAATGAATATAAGGAAGTTAAAGAAGCCATGGCAAGTTTAAGGACTACAGAGAAGCCTCACTGAAGCTAGAAGCATAGAGTCATAGCAATGATTGGATAAGATACTGATGAAAGCTTGGGGGCTGCTGGGGGACATACAGAACTGCAGGGCATTCAAAGTAAACCTTCTCCTTGAAGTTGAGTCAAGCTACAGAAGCAAGTGCTCCCGGAACAATGAATGTTCTAGCATCAAGGTACAGGACCGTATTTTGATGGACTTAGATGGACAAACTGCAGTTTGGGTAGACCATGTCTGTAGTAAGTGCCAAATGTAACTGAAGCCCTTGGGAAATTCAGGAGTTCTTTGGCAGTCTTACCTTTGAAATACAACAGTCAGATGGTGGGTTGAGAGAGCCATTGCTGTCACAGTGTTAAGTGTCCTCCTCTATATGATATTTAGATGAGTCTGTTTCACACTTTTTAGTTGTGATGTGTTGGATAAGAGCTTAGGTTGGTTTTTCTCACATGTTTTTAACATACCCATGCAGTCTTATGTTCCCAATCTAATTTTAAATGTTTTTTGTTTTTTCTTTTTTTTGAAAAGGAGGGGGATTTTGAGACAGGGTTTCTCTGTAGCTTTGGAGCCTATCCTGGAACTAGCTCTTGTAGACCAGGCTGGTCTTGAACTCACAGAAATCTGCCTGCCTCTGCCTCCCAAGTGCTGGGATTAAAGGTGTGCGCCACCACTGCCCAGCCTATTTTTAAATGTTTGTAAGTGGTATCTTTTTACTTTTTAAAAAATATTTTTTATATCACACTTTTTCTTTTCTCCTTCCTTTTTAAATTTTTTTTATGCCCCAGTCACAGTTTCCCCTCCCTCCTCTCCTTCCAGTCCCTCCTCTCTACTCCTTGGCTCCATCCCCCAATCCACTCCACCTCTTATTTCTGTTCAGAAAAGGACAGGCCTCCCATGGGTATCCACAAAACATGGCACACCAGATTGCTGTAAGACTAAGCACTTGCCTGTGTATTAAGGTTGGGTAAGACAAACCAGTATGAGGAAAAGGGTCCCAAAAACCAGCAAAACAGTCAGACAACCCCAGTTCCCAATGTTAGGAATCCACCAAGCTACACAACTGTTTCATATTATATTCAGAGTGGCTAGGTCAGTACCATACAGGCTCCCTGTTTGTCAGTTCAGTTCTGTGAGCACCTATGAGCCAGAGTGAGTTGATTCTATAGCTTTTCCTGTGATGTCCTTGACCTTCTGGTTCTCACAATCCTTTCTCTCCCTCTTTAGGATACCCCTAGATTTTGCCTAGTATTTTTAAGAATAAGATATTTATCATTCTGTGTCTCATTGGTAGTTGTGGGCAAATGGTGGTGTCCTTGTGTGAACAGAGTGCCTAGTCATAATCCTTCCACATTTCCACTCAAAATGGAGCCAGCTGATGCTTGTAAAATGGAGTCAACTCAAAAAAACCAGCTCAGCCTGAAAACCATCATTTTACACGCAATAGAGTCATTACTGCAGGGCCCAGCCTGATTTCAACGCCCACATGAAAGGAAAGTCTTACTACAAACGTTACTAAACACAAGCATCACCTTACCTTTTTCTATTTATTTCATTACCCCACCTCCAACTCTAGGAGTAAAAGATGACCCCTGCTTTACAGAAAAAAAAGGAAGAAAAACAGACTTACAGAGGTGGCGCTACCTGCAAACAATGCCTACAGTTAAGACGGGCCAGAAAGAGGTCTCACACATGATCTACTGGGCACCAAATCCCCACTTTCTCCCACTGCAGTAATTGTTTTCTCTTCTACGGAAGAATCACTTTGAGTTGCTCTTCTCTTTCTGGTGCTCCTGCCCCAGGTCTAGTGTGATCTGTTTATCTTTCTTGATTAACAAAATCTTTTCAGATTTTTTTTATGTGGATTCTAATTTCAAATATCTCTGGATCCCAGAGACTGACTGACATAAAGCTTGAGGATTTTACTTTTTTCCAACTCTGAGTTTGTATCACAAATCTTTAAACCTCTGCCCTCTTTCCTCTCCAACCATAGAACAATAACAATCACTATTCCTGGAAGTCAGGTGAAGCCTGAGGAAAGGAGCATTGTCCTCCTGGAGTGAGCTGTGTGAACCATAGCATCTTCTGGAATTCTCCAGAGAAACCTTCTTATTCTTCCAGTATCAGTGAACACTTTGAAAAATCATGGCTCAGTTTGGCTACTGCAACATATCATCCCTCAACATCCTATACCATCTTAGCATGCAGGATCCCAAGGCTCAAGTTATCTAAATGAACTGTCCTTGCCCATATCCTGTACCCGCTCAAATCATTTCCAAGTTTTGTGTGCGCCTGACTGCATTCCTTACCCATTACCTTGCATATTATTGCTCTGTTAAGTGGTTAAGAGCTTATATTGGCATGACCTTCCCCCCCCCAGAGGAAAATGCCTTTGACATGAGTCTCACAAAAACAACTCCAAATGCAAGACTACAGTACTAAGAGAAGCCTCAAAAATAAGAAAAGTCTGATAAAAATCATTCTTGGGATTTTGGAATTTGGAACTGAGAAATCAAGCTTCTCCTTCTTCCTGAAGCCATCATTTTAATAGTTAGAAAATTAAAACACATAGGCTGGAGAAATTTACTCCAAACAAGCCAGAATGCAGCCTAGGTCTCCCAGTCAGGGACTTTTTAATTGACACATACAAATTTGTTACATTTCCCCACATTATTCCAAATCAATATATCTTTATTCCCACCTTAGCTCTGATGCATCTAATAATTATTCAAATAGCATAAAGTGGAACTTATTGTCATTATCATCATAATTATTATCAGATAGTATTAAGCAATGAACAGGCCAATAAAACAATACTCTTCAGTACAGTACAACAATGGATCTATTTCCACATTAAAAATTAAATTCTGGAGCTGGAGAGGTGGCTCAGTATTTCAGAATGCCGATTGCTCTTACAAAGTACACAGGTTGGTTCCCAGCATATTTCTGGTGTCTCACCACCACCTGCGACTCCAGTTCCAGGGGGTCTGATAACCTCTTCTGAACTCTGCTGGCTCCTGGACACAAACGGTGCAGGTGGCACATACGCAGGCACACATGCAGAGAGAGACAGACAGACACAGACAGAGACCCCAAAACTAATCAAAACCTATATAAATGCACAGTAACAACTCCGTCTTGATTTTTTTTTCTGTTAAAATCAGAAGTTTTCATAAACATAGACCAATTCAGTTTAAGGTTACTCAAACCACAGTAAAGTGCGGGGGAACCCAGACCATAAAGCCACCTGCTTGTTCTGCACTAATGTGACACTATTAGCCAGGGGTTCTCATCTTTCACCATCAAGCAAGGAAAATACTGAGTGAGGAATTCTCTCTCTCTCTCTCTCTCTCTCTCTCTCTCTCTCTCTCTCTCTCTCTCAGGCTTCTTGTTACCCAAATCCCAAATGTACCTTCAAACTCCAACACTTCCACCAAAGTGGAGACTACAATGAAGAAGAAAAGGCAACTTAGGAGAATGAAAAGGAAAAAATTAGTAAGAGTGTTAGAGTTTGGATCAAGGGCTGGAAAAGAGAGATTTCGAAATAGATAGGAATGAAGGATCAGCACCTAGGAGGAAAAAAATCCTAAGGAGATGATAGGAGCATCTGAGATTTTGCTGTTTATGTGACTAATAAGGAGACCCGATGACCTCCTAAAAGAAGAAACTGTAGTTGGCCAGCTGAAGGGATGTGGGAGGCAAGTTTGGCACATGCTGCACATCAGTTGTCAGACTAGAAGAAACTTGCAGGTCAATTAATAATCTCCAAAATTCTTTTCCCCGACTCCCCCTTCTTCATTTCCTGTCCATACTCCAATGGTAGATAAAGAGGTCTCATTGGGTGACATTTATTATTCCTTTCTATCAGACTCAACAGAAAAAAGTTGGCTATTGAAGCATACTTAAATCTCGATATACTGTCTGGAGAGATTAGTGTCTAGCATTGGGTTAAGGCAAAGGGAATGGTCTACTGCTATAATTTCTCCTGTGTTCCACCCTCTGGTACCTGAAATAATTGTGACAAATGAATATTTGTCAACTGGGAATGTGTTCCCAGAAAAGTTTGCAACATATTCAACCTCACTAAACTCTCATTGTAACTTGTGTTCCTTATTCTTATTTTCTCATTATATAAGGTATGAAAGAAACATGGGATTTAAAAATCTTTGGGAAAGACCACATTTGAGATATCACTGAGGTTGACAATACATTTTTCATATAATTTATTATAGTAATATTTATGAAAGTGTGCACTTTTGGAATAAAACAGGTATCATAGATTCATGCAAGATACTAAAATGTTACTGATAGAAATGTTAGTGGTTTTATTACAAAGTGTGGATAAATAATATGGAGTTTCTTATGTAGCTACTCTCAAACAATTTGGAAAAGAAAACTTTTGATGAAACCCTTTCAGAATTCTAGAGACTTCTTGAGATTTTCTATGTCTCCTGAAACATCTAAATTTCTGCTTATAGTCTTATTAAGTACAATACATGCACTGAGAACAATTATCTGAGATAAAATGATTTAAAGGACTGTGAAGCCAGTATGTGCATTGGTTTAGAACATATTAGAGTCAAGGGAAAAAACAGAAATTGACAATCGTATATCTACTTTATAAATCCCTGTGAAATCTAATTAGGAAGTTCCTGTGTAAACACAGAGTGAAAAGAGAGGCTAGCCAAAGACATGAAAATTGGAAAATATCCTTCAAGTCCTTATTATAAATGAGTCTAATACTTACAGAATGATTTTTTCAAACTTTTCATCTTAGTAATGATCCTAGAATCATATCAAAGGACACTGAAAAGAAAATATTATTTCTTTTTAATATAAAACTAAAAATTAGCAAAGGATCAGTTAAATATCAATGAATACTATTTACTATTTTAAAATAACAAATACCAAAATATAATTAATGATCTTTATCTTGTAATATTGATGACAAAAAGCATATGACATCACAACACCAAATTCAAATGAGGCAATTCCACATGTGCTCTTACAAAGATTAACTTTGTGAAAACAGATTGGGGGTCCCACAGGACAATAGAAGGAAGCAAGCACCAAATGTTTGAGTAAAATCTGTCTATAAAAAATTAACAGTTTTAATATGGTGATATTTCTGGAACCCTTTAAAAATCAAAAAATTTCCCCTGAAAAGAAAAGAAAATATACCTATAGGAATGTATGGGAGAGTGATAATGAATAGATTCTAAAGACTTATATAGACTTCTGAAACTAATTTGTAAAAACCTGAGCTAAGAACCCTTGATGCTCAATAAAAGTCCTGCTGGATAACAATAGCTATGTAAGTACTCAGGAATTTCATAAATACTTGGCAAAAGGTGAACTCTGTCAGTCTTCAAGTGCTGAGTGGCTTCTCATATGTGCTGGGAGCTAGAGATCTCTATAAAAGTCATGACCCAATGGTTCCCGTTAGACTGCAGCTGCTGATGAAGGTCAAAGAAATGGGGTTTTCTCCAAATGTCTAAGCAACTGCCACTTGAGAGTTGCAGGCTCATGTTGAGAACTGTCCACTAAACAGCGATCACCCACTCTTCACGGTCTAAGCTCATCTAGGCATCCCAGCAGCTGAAACACAGATGACATGTATCACTTTAGGAAGCCTGCTTGGACACTGGGTTGGCTTTTCCTAGTCACTCTGAAAAAAAGGGAAAGAGTCAAACCACGACAGCAGGATAGAGAAAATCCTTGAGAACTCAGTCTTCACTCTGTCTTTCATAACAACTCATGGGGTAAAGTTTGAACTTTGTAACGAGTAGGTGAGAAGAGATGACAGAATTCAACTCTTCAGCAGATGAGAGGAAGAAATAAGACTTCACATGATGAAGCCACCAACAGGGTTTCTTCAAGTGGGTATGTTCATCGCAGCCATGGGACAGGAGGCGGCAGAGTGAGAGCATCGTGGATGGCTGTGCCTAGGACAGGGAAGGCACACTTTATCTCCTGAAGGAAAAGGTGAAGGATGAAACAGATGAAAACATACAGGAGATGCTAAGCGACCAAGGCTGTCTTAACAAAATACCACAGATGGAGTGACATGGGCAGCAGAGATTAATTTTCTCACATTTCTGGAATTTAGAATCCAAGTTCAGGGTATTGTCAGGTTTAATTTGCCTCTCTCCTTGATGTCCAGATTGCTAGCTTGTTCCTTCTGCTAAACACAATCACCCTTAATGTCTCTCTCTGTATTCTAGCCTCTTCTTATGAAGACAGAAATACAACCGGGAGGTGGTGGTGTATGGTGGTGTATGCCTTTAATCCCAGCATTCAGGAGGCAGAGGCAGGCCGGACTCCGTGAGTTCAAGGCCAGCCTGGTCTACAAGAGCTAGTTCCAGGATAGCCTCCAAAGCTACAGAGAAACCCTGTCTTGAAGATAGATAGATAGATAGATAGATAGATAGATAGATAGATAGATGGATAGATGGATGAGTAAATAAAGACAGTAATACTAAGATTAAATTAGGGTCCACCATACTGATCTCATGTTAATTTACCACACTACTTGCCTCTTTTAGTGATCCTCTCTCCAAATACACTTACACTGCTCAATATTGGGATTAGAACCTTAATGACGAGTTAGGAAAGGAAATAAATCTTGGCCCACACAGGGAAATGCAAGTTTTACTGCATCCAAGAACTACCTCTTATTCATGTCACCCCCTCCCTGACCCACAATGATTTTTTCCCTCTGGAGAACAAATTCTAAGTCTTCAAGCCATTGGGTACAATAATCACACACACACACACACACACACACACACACACACACTCACACACACACACACACACACACCTCCAGCTATCCCTCCAGAACACGCTACTGAGGAGAAAAAACATCAAGTGTCAGGTGTGACCATGGACACCCATGCAAATAAAACGTAGGCTTAGCATCAAAAGTTACCTATGAGTTTACATCTCTAAAGCAAGAAGCGCTCTGCACAGGCATCAGGTGTTTACTAGAGTCTTTGGGACAATCTTCATTCCCCAACCAGAGAAGAAAACAGGAAAATATGAACCAATCTGCCAAGACTCTGGTGGTGTGACTCTTAGCACAAGAGGAAATAAGCAAATCTACCACATTGTGTCTTGAAGATAGAATGAGGTCATTTCACAGGAAATGTGGAGGAACCAGACCTTTAAAAAAAAAAAAAACTCTGGCCTTCTCTCGATTCATATAAAACATTTGTTTTTATTATGCTTACCTCAATTGCATTTGTGGGAAACCCCAGTTTTGTTGACTATTCCTAGAACTTTCTCTTCTCAGTCACGTTAGGCCTGCACACAAGTAGGTCAAGGTCATAAGGTTGGCAGATGACCTACCACACTGACGAGACCTGCCGCAGTGGAAGTCACTTCTTTTGCTTCCTCATCAACGGGTTGTGGGATGGTGTTCACCAGACAGCGACAACTTTCAGCTGTCAGGCAGAAGCTATCAGCCAAATCAGGTGATAAACAGCTCTCAATTCTGGGAACACAGCAGCGAAATCCTACCCCTCCCCAGCCCCCACCCTCCACAGCCTGCCCCATAGGAAGTCACAACATAGAACTGGGTAGCTCCCACCACCACTGAGGGTGTCATTGCAGTCAATCACATAAATAATTTCTCCATGGAAATCTTTGCCACAGGGGAATTTTTACAGCCCTCCAGGCATTTGTCTTAAAACTTGTCCTCTTAGTTTTGTGGGAAATTAGTCACACCCTAAGTGTTTCTGACCGAGAACCAGAAATCCTCTGTTATATTACTAACCCAGGTACCCAGGCACCATGTGCTGGAGACAGAATCAGCAGAATGTCCGAAAGCTCTCCCCACACCTTCTACTTCTTCCCGGGCTACCTCCTTTCATGATGTACGTGGTCCATGTACAATAGTTATAGTGCTAGTAATAGTAATCATGATAAACTTAGGAGCTTTACAGGTCTTCTTTATCCTTTATTCTTTGAAAAAGTGTGTTCGATTTATTCTGATCATGATTTCCCCTCCCCCAGATCCTTCCCACCTCCTTAACTACCCAGCATTATATCATTATATCATTATATTCTCTATATTCTATTTATCTTTCTCTCTCACACACACACACCACACACACACACATACACACACACACACCAAACCAAAAAAAAAAAAAACAGGAAGCATAAAGAATCCACATAAAAGCAAAAGCCAATCAGACAAAAAATTGCTCAAATAAAAAAAAAAGTGAAACAAAAAATCTAAAATAATAGTATTGATTTCATTTGTGTTGGCCATTTGCTCCTGGGCATGGGGCCTGCCCTGGATGTGGTTGATATACTGAATGCTATGCCATTGGATAAAACTGATTTTCTCATTTCTAGAAGGTATCAATTATAAATAGCTTCTCTTTTTTTGCTTTTTTTTTTTTTGAGACAGGGTTTCTCTGTAGCTGTGGAGCCATTTCTGGAACTAGCACTTGTAGACTAGGCTGGCTTTGATCTCACAGAGATTCATCTGCCTCTGCCTCCTGAGTGCTGGGATTAAAAGTGTGCACCACCACTGCCCAGCTATAGATAGCTTCTTAACAATGGAGTTATGCATCTAATTCCCTCCCTCAGTGTGGGGACCCCATCTGGCTTGAACTTGTCTAGGTTTTGTGCATGTGTACCGCAGTCCCTGTGAGGTCACATGCACATCAGCCCTGTTGTTTCCAGAAGATACATCTTCTTAGAGCCATCTCTCCTGTGTAGCTCTTGCAGTCTTTCCGTCTTTCTTCCTCAGAGATCTCTAAACCTTCACGGGAGTGACTTGTCAAAGACAGCCCTGTGATGAGCGAGGGCGCTGAAGTCTCTCACTCTCTGCACATTGTCCAGTCGTGGGTCTCTATGTTAGTTCCCATTTAATACGAGAAGAAGAATCTCTAGAGAAAACTAGGCAATGCTCTGATCTATGCATTATTGCAACGTGTCATCAGGAACTCCTTTTTGCAGTTTCTTTAATGGAATGATATTATTAGGCTTCTCCCTAGAGACATGACCTATCTATCTTATCTCAGGTTCTTGGTCATTTTATCAGTGTCAGATATGGCTTCCATCTCATGAAGCTGGCCTTACATCCAATCAGAAAGTAGGTGATTATTCTCATATTTGTGCCATTATTGCACCAGTATATCCTGCAGGCACGTACCTATTGTTTGGCACGAGGTTTGTATCCAATTGATAATGATGATTGCATTTCTCCTCTGGTAGCATACAAATACCTTCAGATACCATGAATGCTAGTGACTGGGGATGAAGCCGCTGGTTAGGCACCAGCTCAACTGTAAGTTCTTAAAAAGCATCTGATAGAATTTCATTTCTATTCATAGTTGAGTGAAGACTAAAACTAGAAATCACTAATCTGATTTGGGGAGCTGAAAAAGACCTGCAAATGTCAGCACACTTAATGATAAAAATAATCTTTTATCTTCCCAAATTGGTACATTCACAGTGATTTACTAGATTTCATAATTGGTGTGATAAATAAAAAATAAATAAAAAAGATAAAAGGGAAGAATGGTGAAAATAGGAAATAAAACAAAAATCTACAGATAATACAATTATAAATAAATTATTATAGATGAATCCAAAATGTAGTGATATACAGATCAATCATTAAAAAATTAATTATACAAATTTCAAGAGTGAGGGGATTCAGAGTAAATCAGTGATGTTTCTACATTCTCACAGCAATTAGGACAAGAACTTAAATATTGCATTTTAAAGATCTTAAATAGGTCTGGGGCTTTAGCTCACTTAGAAAAGCATTTACCTATCGTGTCAAATGTCCTATTTTTGATGTAGGCACATAGGAGATGGGGGCAGAAAAATTAACTCACATTCACCTTCAGGTATAGACAGCTGGGGTCCATACTGGGTTACAGGAAACCCAGCCTGAAAATAAAATTAAGTGAAATATCTTGAAACCTTTGTGCAAGGAATAGAACTAACACAATGTATCGGAGCTTGGCCAAAGATGAAGCACCCAAATTTCAAATTAACTTCATTTTTAAAAAAACAAAAATTTTTACCTTCTGATAAACCTTACTAACATGGAAATGTTAAGAAGCAATCAAATGTCACCAGTAAAGTAAGCAAAGGGTTGAGACATGTCATGTGACTGCCCCACTTCTTCCTTCCTGCATGAGACAAGAGTCCTCTGCTCCTGGTAATAGATGGAATCTAATGAGATTTGCTCATACAGTGGGGAAATTTCAAGTCATAAAACGTCTAATTTTATAACTCAGAGTGTTTTATTGCTTATGTGACATTCTCTAAGGAGCCGTTCCTCATAAATCAATAAATTTTAGGTTTGTGTACAGTGTACCATGGTAAAGCTGGAACATCCTGCTCGAATCTTCTCAGAGATAATGAGTCTTCGCCTAGCAACTATCATTAGCCTGTTTGTCTAGAGGTCCAAAAGCTGGAGGTAGAAGGCAAACAGGCTGGGGGCCAAAGGGAAATCAACAGATCACAGGTCAGAGGCCACGAATTCTGCTTCCTCGGATGGTTAAGCAGAAAACTACAAAGTAACAGGAAAAAAAATAAGCACAAGGTTCAAGAGATATAGACTATTTGAAGATAAAATTACCCTATATTCAAAGTCATATTTCTTTGATCATATAGAGAAATCCATTAAAAATGCCAATCAAATTCTAACAGTTCTTTTTTCATGCAAAATTTTACAAGCTGCTTCCAAAATTTATATGAATATGCAGTAGCCAAACTATGTCCAATAACTCTAATCAAATATTTGTGGGCCATTTTTAAAGCAGTACAGTAGGACCAGAAGATGAATCAGTAGATTAATTGCTTGTTGTGCAAGCATAGAAACCTTGTTCAGGTTCTCAGCATCCATGTAAAAGCCTAACATGTAGGTTTCCTATGCCTATAGCCACAGCATTAGAGTAGAGACAGGCAGATACCTGGGACGGGGATCTTTAGCTAGTCAGTCAAGATTAAACAGTGAATTCCTGGCTTAGGGAGAGAACCTTTCTCAAAAAAAATGGTGGATTAGGTAAAGTAGTGGTTGTATGTTCTTCTCCAAGATCCATAACCAGAGCTGTTGGTTACCACCAAAGTGTGCATGCCACTATGTACCCTTAGGGTTATTGTGCCATACTGGTCATGGTTGTGGTTCATAGGCACCATAGCTGAGTAGGACTATTGGTTGATTTTCTCCTTTAGAAGCTTGTCTGACACCTTTGGTACCAGCAAAGCTAGGCCTGGGGAGAAGGATCTCAGGTGAGTTCTAGCTCAGGGGCCTCTAGGGTTCTAGACCCTGTGTCTGAAGGGCAGGGTGGCGTCAACAATAGGGATTTACCTTCCATTTCTTTTTTTTTTCTTTTTTGACTTTTGAGACAGGGTTTCTCTGTAGTTTTTGGTGCCTGTCCTGGAACTAGCTCTTGTAGACCAGGCTGGCCTCGAACTCACAGAGATCCACCTGCCTCTGCCTCCCAAGTGCTGGGATTAAAGGCGTGCGCCACCACTGCCCGGCCTTTACCTTCCATTTCCAAGGAGATAACCAAGGGCAGTGGTGGTGCATGACTTTAATAAGAACACTCAAGAGGCAGACAGGCGGACCTCTGTGAGTTCAAGGCCAGCCTGGTCTACAGAGCGAGTTTCAGTACAGCTCCAAAGCTACAGAGAAACCCTGTCTCAAAAAACAAAAAAAAAGTTTTTTTGAGCTGTAAACAATAGCCTATGGTTTTTAGATGGTTCAGTGGTTAAGAGCACTGCCTGCTCTTCCATGGGTCCTGAGTTCAATTCCCAGCAAGTGGCTCACAACCATCTGTAATGAGACCTAGTGCTCTCTTGAGGAAGAGACCTGGTCAGTCATCCTCATCAACTTTGACCATGAAACCCAATATGGACAGGTTCAACAGAACTGCCATATACGGTTTGCTCATGCATGCTTCAGCATTGCCAGGGCATAAATTTCATTTTTTCATTTCATGGTTTTTAGAGGGAATTTTTTGGACAACCATGACCATCAACTCAAAAGAAGTCTTTTTACCAGGTTTTCTTCAGTTACTGAAGAGAACATTGTCAGCAGAGAAGAAAAAATTTCATTTAAATTTTATATATTTATCTAGAGACTGACTTACATGTGTTATCGTTTTTACTATAATCTCAAAATTAAATTAAGTATTTCTAAATAAAGTGAAAAATAATAAAGACCAATATCTGATCTTCCCTCATGACACACAAATTAGCATACTTGCATACACAAACACACACTTTCACACACACACACCACACTCACACAAAAAACACTCACTCAAAAACATAGACACACACACACACACCACAGACACACTCACACAAACAAGTGCACTCATACACTACAGACACACATACATATACACAAAAATTAGCTTTTTAAATATTCGGGTTTTCTGTTATTTAAGACTAAAATGGTATGCTCAAGATCAGATAAGCTCACTTGACTTTTGGCAGCTGAAATTACAGAAGAAGGAAGTTCTCAGGCACTGACATTTGACACACTTCACACCTGGGTAAGCTGGAGTGATTGACAGCTCTCTATCATTCCCAGCAGGAACAAATTCTGAAAAGTAAGCAAGAAGTCTACCCCCTCTAGAAAGGAGAGTGTAGGAAGACAGGGCACTCGGTTCCTCTCAGATGTTTTCCTAACAGCTCTCGGAGTGTCTGCAGTTCTAGGACTTTATCGTGCTCCATCCTACATCTGCAAAGGGGTAACAGCAGCAACAGTAATATGTCTTAACTGCACTCTCCGCAGGCTTGTAAAGTAGTGCTAGAAAATCTTCAGTCACAAATATAGTGATGGGGAAAGGTTTACTGGTCAGAAGAACCACGTTTAAGCACAAGACAGCAATATGTCAATATAAATGTATATATGACTTTGTATAGATGTTGACTTTGTGATACTTCTAATTGCTTGTATGCAAAATAAAAAAATATGACAGGGAACACTATAGAATTAAGTAATACTTATATCTTTAAATCATAAATATCACTTGAAATAATTGTAGGTAAGTTATTGGGTTTATAGTTACTATCATGTAAGGATAAAAAACAAACAGATTTGTCTGTCAGATTATGAATATGTAAAAAATTCCCAACATTGAATTTTAAACCATTTTGTTGCTAATTTGAATTTTTTCTTCATGGTTGACTCAGTGTCTTTCAAACAATTCATTTAATAAATAAAAATGGATTTCAATATTTCCTTAGTCTGCTCTTCTATCTTTGATATATTGCTGTTTGCACTTGGTTTGTTCATCTAGAATAGAAATATTGATGACACTCTCTCATTAATGAAGCTTTAAAGCCCCTCGGGGAATAGGTTTTTCTTATTAATTGAATTTTTTAATTAATAAAAGAATAAATCAGGAACTGTTGTTTCATCCTTTACATGTATAGCTTATCTCTACCATAAATATAATTAAATCAGAATTCATTGAAGATCATAGCTCAGGGATGGCTTTGTATATTTAAGTTCATACCTCCAAGGAGTCAGAACAATTGTAGACGTGTGTGTGTGTGTGTGTGTGTGTGTGTGTGTGTGTGTGTGTGTGTGTTGTTTGGCTGGAGTTTGGACTGAAGGCCTTCATCGTGCTAGACAAATGCTCTCCCACTGAATCACCATCTCAGCCCCTGTCAGAGAGAAACGATAAACTTAGTATATTTTACATCACTGACTAGGAAGGAAGATAGAAGTTCTTATAAGATATTGCACTCAGTAAACAATACCTTCAAGATTTACTAAAATTTGCTATTTTTCACTGAATTTGTTCTTTGTAGCTAATTTGTTCTGATTTCCTAAATGTGGCATGCCAGAACATCTCTAGCAATTGGGTCAGAGTCTGTTACCTCTTAGACCCAGCCGCAGAAAGAACTTATCCTTATCCAAACTTTATCTCCTCCGTGCAGAAAGCAAGATACTTAACAGGGGAGAATAATTCCATATTAATTGACCTGCCACAGTGTTTTTTTTTTTGAACTTTAGGCACTTCCAGCCCTTTCTCACCTTTAGCCTTTCTTGAACTGTAGCATTCTGTCAGCAAAATCACTATTGGTATGAAATAATAACACTGTTTTAAAAGAAACAAGAAAATCGCTGACTCTGAGCCATACATGAGTGATCACAGCTCAGGAAAAGGATACACGTTACCCTAAATGATAAGTTCCACCAGGAAGAGATGACGTCAACATTTATAGCCACAGAACACAAGGAAGTTACAAATCAATATATTTTCCAATTACTTCAGCATCATCTACAGAAAGGCAGGAAAGCATTCTGTAGAGTTCAAATGTTCTCTTATAGCATTCTTGGCTTAAAGATGGTTAGGGATTAGACACCTGCTTAGCAATACACTATGAGAAGCTGTTTTCATAGTCAGAAGGACATTGGACCAGATACAGAAAAGGTAATTGGCTTTTAAAATATCTAAAATATTCCAGTTATTATACACCCTTGTCTTAGAACATCGCATCTCTTTGCAATTTCAGGGCTCTAGCTAGTGAGACGAAGCAGTCAGCAGTATCTTTAATATTGTACAACTTCTTCATAGAAGGTTAGCTCACCACAGCTGAAATAACAATGCCCATTTACTATAAATAATAAATGGGCAAAGTAGCTGAAAACTTTAAAAGTGTAAATTTTTAACTCTATATTCAGAGCAAGGTTTTTTTTTCAACCTGCAGCTACAACCCACAGGATAGTCATTGATGCATCTCAACATGTATGTAGATGACAAGGTAGCGTCTCAGTATCAGATTCACTAACCAACACATTCAAATGACGATGCCAGCTAGAGTATGACAACTGGGACTATTTACTCACACCATCTGACTTTGATAATAGCAAACAGGAACCAAGCTGAAGGACTGGCTCACTGTCACACCTGTTTAGAATATCTTGATCTGCAAGGAAGCCCATTCTAAGTGTCACCCTCCCTGTGCTTGGTGAAAGTGTGTCTATTCTTTACCTTTCTGTGCTATGCTGGTCACTACCATGATCAAGGCAAGTTTTAGAAGGAAGAGTTTATTTTGGTTTATGGATCCAGAGGATTAGAGTCATGATGGTAGAGAAATCATGGCAGTAGGCATAGTAGCAAGCGTGGTCAGGGAGCTCATCTCTTTGAACAAAAGCATAAAGCAGAGAGAACTAACAGTAAATAGCCTGAGTCTTTAAATTTTCAAGCCCATCTCCAGTTATATACTAAACTTTCCCAAAGAGAACCTCCAACTAAGAACCAAGTGTCCAAACACCCAAAAGTGTGAAAGGCATTAATCCTTCCACAGGGGAATCCCTGCCTTTAATAAATTACAAAGCCATAGTAATAGCCATTTTCTGTCTTCTTGCTTTCTAATCCTTCCCACTGTTCAAAGGTACTCTTATAAGTTTTGCCTCTGTTTCGTTTGTTCCCTAGCACTGAAGTGCCTTTTGTTTCTATATTATAATAAATATGAAACTTGTCCAGGAGCTTCATCTTCCAGGAAGTGGAAAACCTAAAGTGCATCAATTCACTGATGTAAGAGGTTCTTTTGTCTATGTGTTGCTTTCATTGGTTTAATAAAGAAACTGCCTTGGCCTTTTGATAGGACAGAACTTAGATAAGTGGAGTAGACCCAACTGAATGCTGGGAAGAAGAGCAATGTGGCAGACACCATGAATCTCCTGCCTGAGATGGACATAGGTTAGAATCTTGCTGGTAAGCCACAGTCACATAGTGATACATAGATTTAGTAGAAATGGGTTAATCAAGATGTGAGAGTTAGCCAATAAGAGGCTAGAGCTAACGGGCCAGGTAATGATTTAATTAATATAATTTCTGTGTGAATATTTTGGGTGGTAAGCTAGCTGGGCACTGGGACGAAACAAAGGGACCCCCTCCTACAACAATTGGCTCTCTTCTTCGGGTAGCTTGAAGAGTCGTCATTTTCATGCCTGGAGGTTGAGTTTGAACATGAGGTTGACTCATCTTTCTGAATATTCCTTCATAATCTGTTCCTTCAAAGTCTGTTTTGAGGATGGACATCCATTCAGAGCTGGGAGATGAGCTACAGGAATTTAGTTAAGCATCTTGGCAGATGTCACTAAGGACCCACCCTATTCCTGAACCCTTACCTCATCAATGGGGACCAGCACAATTTCCAGCTGCGAACATCTGCACCTTAAAGGGCTTTCTTAGGAGTTCAAAATTCCCCTTTCTCTTGTCTGAGCATGTAGAGTTCTTGGGTGCCCTGCTCCTAAGGAAGTCACTAAATAAGAATTAGCACATCCTGTTTTCCTGGGCCTAGAGGTAGAAGAGACCTAGGTTATTGTGCAGTTTCTCAGAGATTTCTGGTAGCCTCAGGCTCCACCTCCACCTCCCCAGCCCACACAACAGCCACATTTTCTTAATAACACACACTCCCTGATGCTCCCTCTCCTTCCCTTTTCACTTTTTTATTTCTACACCTCTCTTTTCTGCACCTGCCAAACTTATTTTCTCAAGTCCTTGGCTCCAAGACTATTTCAAGAAGATCTCAAGTCGAAGCAGTTATCTGTTTCTTTTCCGGTATAGATAAGCACAGACATTACAAACCCTGGATAGTAAATTGTTTGTGCCTTGGGGCACTCTCAAGCTTCTGGTGAAGGGGAAAAGATGAGTCAGATAATCTACAGGCCCCAGCCCACACTTCATTGCATATGGAACCTGCTCCTTGGAATCCTGACTCTTCTCCAAGACGAAGAGCTAGATGCCCATCTAGCCAGATTATCTCAGCATGATTGCCTAGAGGTGATCTGCTAGAAGTGCACTAGGAAAACTCTGAAGGTTGGCTCATTGTTCACTCAGAAATACAGAGCCATCATTATTTAATAGTAATCTGTTGTCATATTGAAAAGGTGTATCACTTTTTATTCTTCTGTAAAACAGGTTGATGCTTTTATAATTTATTCTTTTTATGTTTTTCTTTATGAGTACTTTGCCTCCATGTATATCTATGTCTTATGTGCCTTTCAGAGGACAGAAAAAGGCACCAGAGTCCTTTGCAACTGGAATGAAGGATTTCTATAGGCTACCTCGTGGGTGCTAGGGACCAAACCCTGGCTCCCTGTAAAAGCAACAAGTATTTTTAACTGCTAACCCAGCTCTCCAGCACCCAGACTGATATTTTTAAAACAGTTTCTTATATGTAAACATAGCCCAACATGGGAATAGATGAATTTTTGAAAATATGTTTCAGTTACTAAGAAAGATATAAGTGTTTGTATGCCAGTTAATGATCAGACTCTGTTCTAGAGATTAAAGTATGGCATAATGCTTAGCATTATTAAAGTGACTTTTGATTGATATTTGAGAAAGGGCACAAGGAGAAGCAGAAATGAGCAAAAGGAAAACTCAATGTATTCTTTGGAGAATATTGCAAAGTTAAAATTGCCTACCAATTTTTTTCTTAATTTGAACCATGATAGTTAGTATCTATAATGTGTCTATCATTGGACATGGGAAAATATTGAGCTCTTAAGAAAGCTACCAATCTACAAAAAAAGCAGGACCCCAAAGAGACTGACAACTAAAGTACCTTCTTATAAGACCTCAATAAGTCCCATATGAAAGAGGAATCTAGATTGTATATCAGCATCTACTATACTTTAATGACCCTTAAATATGGAGCATGGTAACCTTTGCAAATTGGTCAGATCATGATACCAGTTCCAATCTCGTTGAGTTTTCCATGAACCTTCTTCTAGAAACAATTATCAGGCATCTAAAACACATACTTTAATGTGGGTTTTGTGTACTTAGTGTATCCTTAAGCAAGATTATTTTAATACATGGGGTTAAGCTGCTTGTATCAGCCATTTCTCCAATTCTAAATGTACCATAGATAAGACATGATCCAACTGTTCATCACAGTGATGATAAAAATGGAAGCCTCCTAAATCCAACTCATGTAATGATACAAATCTTGATCAAAATGTACAGTTAGTCAAAAATAATTCTCAGGAACCAAATAAAGCTTGTACTATTTCAGTAGCTTGATTTCATGGTCTTCCAAGAGCCATATTGAATCTGTTCAGCTGTTATAAATTGTCTAAATCAACAGAGTTGTCTGGGCTGCTGTGACTGTGTGCAAAACCCAGTAATGAAGGCACAAAGTACATGGTCACAAACATGTTGATCACATCACTTATGTACCTACTTGACCTTATAGTTGGAAACATTTAATAAAAACATTACACCCATTTTGCGTCAAAGGCTGGAAGTGTGACTGCAATTATTTGAGAAGGAACTCTCCTAGTTCAGTGTGGAAAAATGGTTATATCACCAACCTGAGAGTTGTTACAAGTTACTGGCTTGCCTCCAATTGAAAGCCTAGGAAAGTCAGCTTCCTTTTCTTCATCTATAAAAGCATAGAATTAATGAAAGAGAATGAGAACATTAGAATTTTTTTTAAAAAATAGCACCAGTTTCAAAGACAAATTTGTCTATGAAAATTAAATCAATTTTTAAATAGTAGACTTTATTATTTGGATTTTATGACCCATTAATGCAGTTATAACTGGTTTAACAGATGAAATTCTCCAGAGAAAAGAACAAATATTATATATATGAAACATATCATATAAATATATATATATATATATATATAAAATGTCTTATAAAGATGGGAAGAAGTGACAAAAGTAGTTTTATTGTAGGAAATGGCTTATGTGATTATCAAATCTAATGAGCCCCATAACTCATCTTCTACAGATGGGAAAACAAGGAAAATCCAATGATGTAAGTCACAACTTGAGTCTAAAAGCCTAGAACCAAGACTGACCATATCTGAGAACAGGAGTAGGTAAGTGCCCCAATTTAAAAAACATTGATTAATTTCCTTGTCTTTTTCCTATCTTTAAGCAGTGGGCCAGATGATGCTCATTAGATTAGTGAAGACTGATCTCCAGGGGCAGTTATGCAGCTGTTCCTAGAATTCCAGGCCTACCTAGTCATCACATTTAAAGCATTCTAAGAAATAAGATAAAGAAATAGATATTAGGGTTATGGTCCAAATTCTTAGATACCTAAAATTAACATTTACCAAAAAAAAATGTGGACAGACTCAACATGTTTTCTCACGTGATAGAAATGCACACGTTCAGTAGAGATGCTGATTTAAGTCTCATCATCCTATGTTGCTCTGAGATCTTTCCCCTTCAAGCACAATTTACCATAAATAAACCATTATGCTTCTATAAGACCAGAAGTACTTATACTGGAAAAGCACTGTGGTTCATGATACTCCACAGTCTGAGCTCATGTTTCCAGGCTTTCAGGCAGCATGCATTGGCACTGTGTGGTATGACAGTGGCAATACCAAGTGCACGTGTCCCTGTTGAGAACCAAGGCTTCAGTGAAATTGCTCATTGAGACATGGGCTAGCACTGCCAGAAACACACCAGACTCATATCACTGACCTTGAGCTACACTTTAATTCTTGCTCATCACATATTCAGAATTCTTTACTGTGATCAGATTTTTCACAAGTTCTACATCACAAGTTACATAATCTTACACAGCCCATCCTTTAAGGTGGTGTGCTCTGCCAAACCAACTCCAGTGTCGTCTGTGTGACATGACATATGTCATTATGCCGGATGGGAGCTACATGTCCTATGGGACTAGGCTTCCTGGAGGTCAATGGCAGACGGCCCGGTATTAGCCACCACTGAGACATAGATGGGTTTCTCGATTAGCTGGCTATGCAGGATATGGGCTCTGCACAATCTCTTTTAATAATGAGATTCTACATATCTACAAGACAAGGATTATGTCTTCAGGAATAGCTCTGGGATAGGGAAGCACAGTATGGGAATGTATAAGACTACAGCAGAACATTTGTCATACGCGGGGTGTATGATGAGCAAGGAAATAGATGGGTTAGTGTTGATGGACAAAGACTGTTAATATACTTTGAACTTTATGGATAGGCTTGCTAGATCTCAACCCCCATGGTGTCTGCTGCATAAGAAGGTACAAAAAAGTTTATTTCAGCAGGTGCAGAGAACTGATTAGGCATGTTTGGTCACTAGATGGAATAAAGAAAGGCTTAGAAAGAGGAAGGGGCCATGACAGCAATAGCGAGACAGAAACCTTCTAGTCTTAGATAAAATGAAACCACTTGTCTTGAGATTTACATTCCCAGGGACAAGAGTTCCTCTTCTAAGGATGTTTTATGTCTAACACCTGTCCCTGATAATATGCTTTTCTTAAATATTGCTGATGATACTAAAAGAAGCTTTCATACTGTGCTAACTGATGATATATGGCCTTCTGATTTGTTCTTTGTTTGAATACTATATAATGAAAACATGAATTCAGTAAAATCGCAGCAAACTCCAACCACTCTCTTGTGTGTTGTGTCCGTCTGTCATTCGCCAAACTTCTGCCTTCCTGTATACCAAGACCCTGCTTCTCCCACCGTCTGAGTGGCTCCCCTGAGTCAGTCCATGGCAGTGCTCTGAAATCTTTCTCTGACTTAACTTAATCTATTTTTTCTTCCTCCTGTCTATTTTTCCAATAGCAAACAGAATGAGATTTTCAAAGAATAACTTTGCTTTGTTTTCCACTATCGTGATGTAGCCTCCTAACAACTTTTCAGAGTTGCTAAGAAATGAAGAAAATATCTGGGCATAGTGATACACGCCTTTAATCGTAGCACTCAGGAGGCAGAGGTAGATAGATCTCTATGAATTGAAGGCCAGCCTGGTCTACGAAGTGAGTTCCAGGACACAGGGAAATCCTGTCTCAAAAAGCTAAAATAAATAAATACAAAAGAAACGAGGAAACTATCTAATGCACAGTTTTGTTTTTGTTAAGCTAGTTTGCATCAGTACCTTTTACCAGTCTGTAAACCAAGTACACCGGTACTCTAAACAATATGCGAGGCTCCTCCCATCTTAGAATCAATGACTATGTTAGAATCTCTGCCCAGAAACTGAACTTTGCCCAGTTAGTCATGTTTTTAATCTCAACTTAAGCAGCTTTTTCTCAGCAAATACCTTCTTACAGCACTCTCGTCTCGCCCCACAAAGAATCAATTTTCTATTAGATTCTCTCATAGAATATTAAAACTGCCCCTCAAATTACTTATTCCACCTTTTATTTCATTTTATATTTTTATAATTATTTGATTAGTGACAGTTTCTTTTCTCTGAATGAGCAAGATCTAAACACACAAAAGGAACAATGTTGCTTTAGCTAACATTTTATCCTTAATCTGTAGGCTTCAGTCTCATGCTCCGTGATTCCTGGTTATGTCTTACTGACAAAATATTTAGTTGCTTCGAAGAGAGAGATCTCTTTGGAAATGTGCTGTGGAAAGACACTTTTTTAACATCAAATTGTCAGGGCCTAAGATTTACCCTCTGTGTAACCCTAGAGAAATTCTGTGATACTGTTCAATTTACTTTTCTTCTTCTGGGATAGAGATGACGAGAACACCCATCCACCTTGCTACAGGTCATAAAGTGTTTCTGCAATCCCAGCATTCACAGGGTTGAAACAGGAGAATTATGACTAAGAGGTCGGCTGAAGCTACATAGACCATGTACCTCACTGGTTGTTGAGCCAGTGAAGTGTATCAACCATGCATACGCACAATCCTGTGTCTAACACATAAGCACACTATGAAGGTTGTTAATTCTTGTCATTGGTCCCATATTGTTCTTGGTCTCCAGATAAGAAAATGTTGGCATCTACTACAGGTTTTCAGTATCATCAGAATGTCGATTAGAGTGGGTGAAAATGGCTGGACACAGAATAGAATTTCTCAAAGGCCAAAATAAGGAAAATGGGTCATATCAAGAGAGAAGTAGGAAAAAGAAATTTCTTACAGTGTTGATAAAAGAACTGGAAAACTGCCGGCTAAGATTAGCATCAAAGAAGAGAGTTCATTCATTCCTTTTAATGTGTTAATTCAAAACATATCTGTTTTAGTTACTTGGTCTTAAGATGTCTAAGAGACAACATCAACATTAAAATGAGAAACTAATTACCAAGTTCTCTAGAAATTATCTTCTTTGATTTCAGAACATTCTTACCAAGAATTTAATGTTCTTTTCCTCTTTATTATGCCAGAGACTAGCTTTCTGGGTCTTTAGTTGTTCTAAAAGGGGATTATGATGAAAAGGGATTTGGATGATGGAGGAAAATAGTCAGATTTTTCACTAAACAGTGAGAGTCCTAGCTCAAGGCCAAGGTGCCCGTTTTTATCAAGGAATTAACTGCAGAGCAGCAAATGGCTTTGAGTGCATGTCTTATGGTTAGAGCCGCCACAACAAAAAACAGCCTGCTGCATCTGGTTCATATCCCATTCAGTGTGTGGCATTTTCATTCCATTAGCTAGCCCTGACATTTCCAGGTTCAGTGGAAGATGCAAAATTGCACATTTCGCTTATAGTGGAGGTGACTTTTAATGCAGGAGGATAAATTATAGTTTCACAAAATTCATTTCGAAAGCCTATACTCCTTTATGAGCGATCCCACCCTCCAACAACCACAATATACCAGGATAACCTCACTAGAATATGCAGAACACATAGCTTACCTCCAGGTACCTTATCAGAATCACATAATCTTTAGTTAGATACAAAACTGAGAGTCAGATTGTGTGATAGCATCTACTGCAAAGATATGACATCTCTGATGATTTTATAAATAATGAATATGGCAACATAAAAACCATTATGGTTGTTTGCGTCTTACAACCTTAAAAGTACTGCATCCAAGTTTCACTGAAGGTTTGACCACTCCTTTATTACAAAAAAACACACAGAACTATGAGACTATACCATTCTGATGCAAAACTTATAGTTGTTAGACAGGACATGCACAGACTATTTTTTTTACCGTTCTTTCTAGAATTTGTATCTCGGTATAGTTAAGTTCAGAAAGAATGTAAGCAATGGGGCATGCACAGTCATTCATGAGGTTTTTCAGTTTCACTAGAGAACCTGCATCAACAGTCTGCATGTAACAGGGCATGACGATGCTCAGTCAATATTTGTTTGCTATTTTTACATTATTTGCCATTGATAAGAGTATTTATGCAATGCCATCTGTTAAATAACATTAGAAAAAAGTCTTGGGTTTGAGGTGACATGCATTTCATAGGATTATTACAAAATAACAATTGTTCTATTTTTTTCAAAGAATATGGCTGAAAATAGTTGCTCTGAGTTTAAAAAATGCAGCCTCTATTTCTCTGCCTTCTAATTTATTTGTATTTGTAAGTACCTTTGTGATCTAAATCCATTTCAATTATTTCATATTCAATCCAGTCCACTCCATTCACATTATGGTCACATAAGTAATCTGGAGTAATTTATCAGTATCATATGCTACACTTCAGCATTC